TTGAGGTTGCTGTGAGCTAGGCTGACACCACGGCACTCACTCTAGCCCGGGCAACAGAGCCAGACTCTGTCTCAAAAAAAAAAAAAATGCCCAAGGTCAGCCAGCTGGGTGCCAGAGACAGGCTTTGATCCTGAGCAGTGGGGCTCTAGAGCCAAACTCTGAACCTCCACCCACACAGCCTCCTAGTGCCGGGGGATGGGGGACGTCCAGTGGAGGCGTGCACGTGCTGCTGGGGACGTGGGAGAGTTTGGGGGTTGTCAGCTCAGAGGTGACGTGTGGAAACCACAGTGGAGGGCAACCCAGCCCAGGGAGGCCGTGGGGGTGGGTGACGGCCTGGGAGGCACCCTGAGGACCCAGGGAGACGCAGGAGAGGGAGGCATGGGGGAGAGAGAGAGAATGAGGGGCCCTAGGACTCAGGACAGGGAGACAGGAAACCCTCAGGTGTGGCCCCAGAGAGGTCACTGCTGACGCTGAAAGGCCAGTCTGGGTGGGAGGAAAACCCCAGATGCTGGGGGGCTGGGTGGGAGCGCGCACCGTGAGTGTATGTAACTCCTGCCATGGTTGGTGGGATGATGGGACAGTGGCCCCGGGGCCCAAAGGGAAAGGGGTGGGTAGGGGGAGCTGCAGGGGCGAGGGAGATGCGAAGAGAGTGGAGGGCCGCTGGAGGAGACCTAGGACTGGACAGCGAGGCTTCTTTGTCCAGTGTGAGGCGTCACAGACAGACACAGAGGAGTGTGGTGGCAGCCTAGCGACTTAGATCCTGAGTGGATATGGGGCGGGGTGGGGGGGTGGTTGATGGCCCTCGGTTCCTGGGAGCTGAGACCCAGCCCTGACAGGTGCTGAGGACCCTGGGACGTAGTCCTGAGAGACAGCCCAGTGCTCGGGGCGAGGACTTTAAACCCACAATCCTGGAGAGGAGACCAGGAGGGCCCTTCCCGGGCAGGGCCAGGGCGGTTAGGGCTGTCAAACCCGATACACGAGAAAGGCAAGGCCGGGCTGAACACAGGTGCCCCTCCCCGGCAGAGGGCAGCAGGGTTGCAGCCGGCCTGGTGGGAGTGGGCTCCCCAGGACACAGACGACCCGACACGTGGCTACCTCTGGATTATTTTATTCACATGGCTTGGTGCCATACAGGCGCTCCTGCCGGCAAGACAGGCACAGGCACCCCCGGCCCCGGCCCCGCGCTGCTCAGGGGCCCACCTCCCGGCCCTCTGGGGTTAGTGCTAGTCACGTCACACACAAAACGGGGGCGGTGGCGGTGGGAAGACAGGCAGGCAGGGATCTCCACCTCCCCGGGGGCTTCACACAGCGGCAGCCCGAGCCCCTTCCATCCTTGCGGGGCCTGGAGCCCCCGTCTCCGAAAACCCCACGCTGGGCAGCCGGACCCTGAACCCACCCTCTTCCTGGTCCCCGCTCCCACTCCGGGCCTTGGGGCTCAGGGACACCCTGGGGAAGCGGAACTTGGGTGACTTCTCCCCGACAGGGGACTTGGGGGTTGCCTCACCCTCCTGCCCCCTTGAGGCTTTAGAAGGGGCTGCCAGGCCCACCCGCGGCAAGCGGACCCGGCCCCGGCCCCGGCGTCCCAAGGCCCCTTCCCCGCTGCCCTCTTCCTCCTCTTCCTCGGGGCTGGGGGAGCCGTCCCCAGTGACCGTCTCACCTTGGCTGAAGCCCACTCGGGGCAGCCTAAGTTTTGGGCTCTTGGCCTTCTCAGCCTCCTCCACCCCCTCCTTGGCCCGTACCAGGCCAAACCGGGGCAGCCGCACCTTGAGCTTGTGTCCGGCATCCCCCTCGCCCTCTGCCACCTGGTACTCGGCGTGGCTGCCCACAGCGGGTGGCGAGAGCTCCACATCGGGCAGCGAGAGGTGGAAGGTGTGCTCAGCTCCTGGGGGCTGGTCCTTGGCCCCCTCTCCCCCAGCCCCAGCCCCGGCCCCCAGGGTGGGCAACTTCAGCCTCAGCCCGCCCTCGCCTGTGGCTGCCTCACCCCCCTGCACCTCCCGGCCCAGCCCCACGTCCAGCTCAAGCTGGGGCACTGTCACGGTGGGCATCTTGAAGACACCCTCACCCACCAACAGCTCCCCACCTGCCACCTGCGCTCCAGGCAGAGACAGGGTCACCTGAGGCACCTGGACTCTGTAGCCTGCTGTGCCCTCTGCCGAAGGGGCTGCACCCTCAGCCTGCTTCCCCAGGGCGCCTGCCTCCCCGAAGCCGGTCAGCTCCACCTGGGGCAGGGAGATGCCCAGTGGCGGCACCCTCAGCACCCCCTCACGGCCCTCAGTGACCACCTGCCTGGTTGTGGACACCTGCAGCCCTGACAGCCGCATCCCGCTGACAGCCGCTGCTCCGTCTGCCCCCCCTTCCTCCTGGGCCCCCAGTGTGACCAGCTCCACCTCGGGGATCTTCAGCTGCCCGGTGGTGAGCTCCGGCTTTTCCCCCGGGCTGGAGCGCCCACCCTGGACTTCCGCTTCCTTCCCGCGAGCCAGCCCAAAGGAGGGCATCTTCAGCTTGGGCATCCTCACCCTCCCGTCCCAGCCCCAGCCCTTGCCCTCCAACTCAGCCGCCCCCAGCACTAGCTCTCCCGCCTCGGTGTCCCGGCCTCTGGCCCCAAACTTGGGCAGAGCAAACCTGGGCCCCTTGAGCTTGACATCGGCCCCTGCCACCTCCACCTTGCCTGGGGGCAGATGGGCATCCAGGCTGAGCTGCGGGATGGACAGGTCGAGGGCGGGCAGCAGGCCTGCCTCCCCTGCCCCTTTGGCCTCAGCCTCCGTCCCCACCCGAGCCTTGGGGAGTGAGATGGCGAACTTGGACACCTTCAGCTTGGTGGCTCGCCCAGCCCCCTCAGCCTCTGCCTTGGCCGCCTTTGGCCCTGAGAGTCCAAACTTGGGCAGGGAGAACTTGGAGGAGGGCTTGACCTTCATCTCCATCATCTCTGGCCGCTCTTCCTCAGCTCCCACCGTGGGCAGCTGCGGAGTAATGATCTCCACGGAGGGCACTCGGAAGCCCAGTTCCCCAACTCCTGCTGCCACCCCCCGGCCCTCCGCCCGCTCCCCCTTGCCCACTTCAGCTGCTCGGACCTGCCCCTCCAGGCTGAGGACCCCCGGCAGATCGAGCTCCACGGAGGGCAGGGTAAGAGAGGGGACACCCACAGGAGCCTCGCCACCCACCTCTGGCTGTAGACAGGGAAGTGTCACCAGCTTCCCCGAGACCTCAGCACCTGCCTCACCTGGCTTGCCTCGTGATGGGGACTCTGCCCTCCCCAGCTTGGGCATGGTCACCTTGGGCATCTTGAAGCCAAATTCCACCCCCTCTGCCTGCTCTGCCCCTTTTAGCTGCACCTCTGGAGCCTTGGGCAGCTTCACCTCTGGTGCCTTCGGAAGATGCACATCCGGGACCTTTGGCACTTGC